GGCGCGGACCGGGGCCCCCGACCCCCCCCCCCCGCGCCCGCCTCGCCGGGGGCACCGGCACGGGGGGGGCGAAACCACCGAGGGGACACCGGAGGGACCCGCGGGGCTCAGCCCCCCCCCCCCCCCCGAGCGGCGGGGGGCAGCGGGACCCCCGAGTGACACCGGGCGGTCCCTGCCCGTGACAGCGGGAATGGGGGGGTCACCGGGACCCCCGGAGCGCGGCGATGCGATCCCCCTCCCCACACCGGTGCTGGGACCCCCCAGCTGTGTCACCCACCCCGGGGGGGCACGGGGGGCTCTGCTCCCCCTCTGCCGCGGGGTTTGGGGGGCTCAGGCAGGTTGGGACCCCCCCAGCCCTGCCCCGAGCCCCCTGGTGCCATTGTCTGTCCCCAGAACAAAGGTCCCTCCCTCTCCTCGGGGTCCCTGTCCTTGGGGGTCCCTCTCGGGGTCCCCCCCGCTGCCGGGGGTGGTGACAGCTGGGGAGTGGGGGGACACATCGGGTGAGACCCCCCCTCACGCCCCCCCAGCCGGGCTGAGCCCAGCGGCCAGCATTAATATTTGAAGAGGCTAATTAAGGCATGTGCACAGAATGCTAATTGGGGTGGGGGGCTGCCCTTCTGTCCAGCCCAGACACCCCGGAGCCCCCCGGAGCCCCCCCCAGCCCCTCTCTGAGGGTGTTAATGAGCCAGCAATTAGAGGGGGTGCCTTGATGAGAGGGACGCTCACAGCCATGGGTGAGGAGAGCCCCACTTGGGGTGGGTGGGCACTGGGGGGTCCCTGTCACGGGGGTGGGGGTCCCTGGGGCGGGGTCCCACCGTGCCCACGTACAAATCACTCTGGAGATGCAGCTCTGGGGTGAAGCTCTGCCCTGGCTCTGCCAGACCCCGTTTATTGCCCAGCTGGGAGGGCTTTGTCCCCGAGCTCTGGGGACAGCTGGGGGGGCTGCTGGTGGCACGACAGCCCTGTCCCCGCAGTGAGGGGCTGCAGGACCCCCGGGTGTGTGCAAAGGTGGCACCTGAGACACCCTGGGACAGAAGCAGCTGGGGGTGACGTGAAGGAGGGGGTCCCTGCAGCCCGGTGGGAAGGAGAGCTCCAAGGTCCCCTTCCTGCTGGGGGGGGGGGGTCAGGGCACCCCAAACACAACCTGGGCATGATCACTGAGGGGGTGAGGGCAGTGGCACCCCCGAAATGGACACACCAGAGTCCTGGCCAGCCCTGGCACTCCCAGAGACATCCCGGGAGCAGGGCTGGGACCCAGCAGGGAAAACAAACAAACAAACAAACAAACAAACAAACACACACAAACACCTTCCCCGCGCTGCTGCTGCTGCTGGCAGGAGGTGACAACAGCGGTGGCCGGGCCCTGGAACCCTGGCGGTGCTGCCAGCCCCGGGTGGGGCTCCAGGGGCAGCAGGGAGCGGGGACAGCCCTGGCCGTGCTCTGTCCTGGCTCTGTCCCTCTGTGTCCCTGCTGTCCCGACTCTGTCCTTGCTCTTTCCCTGCTCTGTCCTGGCTCTGTCCCGGCTGTCCCAGCTCTGTCCCGGCTGTCCCTGCTCTGTCCAGGCTCTGTCCTGGCTCTGTCCCAGCTCTGTCCCGGCTCTGTCCCGGCTCTGTCCCTGCTGTCCCAGCTCTGTCCCTGCTGTCCCGGCCCTGTCCCGGCTGTCCCCGCCCCGCCGGCTCCTCAGTCGCTGGCGCTGCCCTCGCTGTCCGAGTAGGCTCCCAGCAAACCCAGCGAGGACGTGGCTGCTGCTGCTGCTGCTGCTGGAGGGGAGGGAGGAGAGGGTCCCGTCAGCTCCAGCCCCCCTGGGTGATCCCCAGTGTGGGAACTCTGCAGAGATCCCGAGGGGAGCCTCGTCCCTGGGGGACCCTGAGGCCAGGGAGGGTAAATCAGGTGGATAAAGCTCAGCCCAGGCTTTGAGATGGAGTCAACCCCACTCAGGATCAGTCAGAGCCCCCCAGGACCCCAGCCCAGGCTCTGGGATGGAGCCAACCCCACCCAGGGTCTGTCAGAGCCCCCCAGGACCCCAGCCCGGGGCAGGTACCAGTGCTGGCCGTGCTCCTTGGGGTTTCCATCCTGTTTTCCAGGGCAGGATCTGGTTTCTGCTTCCTGGGGGCCACCAGCCCTGCCAGCTGGGCCCTGGTGCTGAGCTTGCCCACGCTGCGCTCCCAGCTCTCTGTCCTGGGCTTCTTGCTCTGGGGCTGGGGGTCCTGTGGGCACAGCCAGGGTCAGGGGGCTCCAGCTCGGAGGGGACGTGGGGGGATTGGGGATAAAAGCAGCAGAGACATGAGGGGAAGGCTCTGAGGGGGAATTCTGCCCCTGCAGGGATGGCACAGGCAGCACAAACAGGGATGAGGCCCTGGAGATCCAGGTCCCACTGCCAGAGACATAAACCCAGCCTCGGGATGGCTCTGGGATGCTGAGGAGGCAGAGAAAAGAAATCCCAGCATGGTTTGGCTTGGAAGGACCCCAAAGCCCATCCAGTCCCACCTTGCACTGCCCCAGGTGCCTCCCAGCCCCGTCCAACCTGACCTTGGACACTTCCAGCCACAGCTTCTCTGGGCAATCTCTTCCAAAGTCTCCTTAAATCCAATCCAACCTCCCCTGCCTCAGTTCCAGACCATTCCCCCGTGTCCCACCCCTCCCTGCCTGGGTGAAAGTTGTTTTCTCTCTGTTTTATCAGCTCCTTTCAAGGCCACTGAGCACTGGGTGCCTGCAGGGGGTCCAGCCATGGACCCCGAGTGGATCTGAGTGCCCTGGGCACAGGGATTAGTGCCAGGCCAGGGACCACGGCTGGGATTAACCCCAGGCACAGCAGCTTTGATCCAGCCCAGCTTTGATCCAGCCCAGCAGACACGGGGCCCTGGGGCAGGGATGACATCGGGGGAGGGCAGGGCTGTTTGTTGGGATGATCCCTCCTCAACCCAGGGGAGGGCAGGGCTGTTTGTGGAGACAATCCTTCCTCAACCCAGGGGAGGGCAGGGCTGTTTGTGGGGACAATCCCTCCTTCACCCCAAGGCTGTTTGTGGTGACAATCCCTCCCTCAGCCCGGGGAGGGGACAGGGCTGTTTGTGGGGACAATCCCTCCCTCAGCCCAGGAGGGGACAGGGCTGTTTGTTGTGACAATCCCTCCTCCAGGCCGGCTCTGGGAGCTCTTTTGTTCTGCCTGAACCCACAGCACAGCCCAGGGAGGCCGGCCCAGCCCGAGGCAGCAGCAGGGCCCAGCCGAGCTCTTCCTCGCCAGGAAGGGAGCATGGGGACAGCTCCATCCCTGCCTTTGTCCCCAGGCCCGGCCTGCAATCCCCGGGTGATCCCTGGCTGCTCTCGGCCCTTTGGGAGCTGCTCAGGCGTGACACCAGCCCAGAGCAGGGACACAAAGGGCACACGGAGCTCCAGGGCAGAGCCCTGGGGCTGGGGAGGGGCAGGGCAGGCTGTGCCTCCCTCACCTCCTGCAGGATGTCCGTGGGTTTTGCCTGGCCCGTGGCGTTGGGGCGAGCTTTTGCCGCTTCCTCGTCGGAGTCAGAATCCACCAGGAGCCGGCGGTTCTGGGCCTGCTCCAGCATGGCCCTGCAGGGACACAGGAGGCTTGGAGCTGGATCCATCCCCCTGCCAGGCCCTGCTTGCTGCAGGGGGGCTGGGGACAGCAGAGGAGCCCCGGGACCCCCTCCCCAGGGGGATCTGTGGGATCCAAGACTGAAGTGTGGTGGGATCTGGAGCTTCACCCCAGAGCAGGAACTGTGGCCACTTCCCAGAGGACTGGAACCCCCCCAGCAGCCCAGATCCCACAGAATCCTGGCTGGCTTGGAAGGACCTCCCACTCCTTCTCCCTGAACACTTTGCCAGGACAGGCTGGGATCTGCTCCCACCCCCCAAATCCTGGTACCTCAGCCCCCCTGTCCCAGCCCAGCCTCTGCTCCCAGCCCTTCCAGCCCCCTCACTTCATCTCCTGCTCATCCTCCTCCTGCTCCTTGCGCCTCTGCTCCTCCTCCAGCTCCTTGTGCTGCTTCAGCATGGCCTCAAAATCCACGTTGGCCTGGCGCTGGTTGAGCTCCTTCAGCTCCTGCAGGTTCTCCAGCACCTCCATCTCCAGCTTGGAGTCCTTGGTTCGGTTCTCCAGGACCTGGGTGGGATAAGTTGGGATATTTGAGGCAGCAGAGCCTGCCAGGAGCCTCCAACACCTCCCCACTGTGCTGGATGAAGCACAAGAGGATCCTCCTCATCCTCATTTTTGGGTAGGACAGGAAAGTCTGGATGGCCACAAAGCCACTGCTGTGGCTGGGGAGGGTCAGGCAGAGTGGCAGAGGTTTCCCTGCACCCCTCATACCTTCATGGGGTTGTTGAGCTCCTCCTCTTCCCTCTCCTTCTGCATCCTCTTCTCCTCCTCCTCCAGGAGCTTCTCTGCCTGGAAGTTCCTGGTGGCGCCGTGCTCCATGGTGTAATCCGTGTTCTCGGGGTCTGTCTGAGGGAGCAGCAGCAGAGCCATGGAGGGGAGGGGGATCCTGCCCCAGCCAGCCCACAGCCACCCCACAGCCACCAAGGGAGCTGCACGGGGAGGGCTGAGCCAGCCAGAAACCCACCCTGGGACTCTGCTGTGCTGGTTTTGTGCTTTCCCAAACCCAGAAACCCACCCTGAGACTCTGCTGTGCTGGTTTTGGGGTTTCAAACCCAAAATCCCACCCTGAGACTGTGCTGTGCTGGCTTTGTGCTTTCCCAAACCCCAAAACCCACCCTGGGACTCTGCTGTGCTGGTTTTGTGCTTTCCCAAACCCACCACACTTCACATTAACCAGAAAATCTCTAATTAGTGAACCAGAGCCCCTCCATCAGCCTTTGCTGGGCAGGAGTGCCAGGGAGCCATGGAACACCCTGAGCTGGAAGGGACCATCAGCTCTGGCCTTGAAAGGAGCTGATAAAACAGAGAGGAAACAACTTTCACCCAGGCAGGGAGGGATGGGACACGGGGGAATGGTCTGGAACTGAGGCAGGGGAGGTTGGATTGGATTTAAGGAGACTTTGGAAGAGATTGCCCAGAGAAGCTGTGGCTGGAAGTGTCCAAGGTCAGGGCTGGGAGGCACCTGGGGCAGTGCAAGGTGGGACTGGATGGGCTTTGGGGTCCTTCCAAGCCAAACCATGCTGGGATTTCTTTCCTCTGGGACAACCCCACCCACCCCACTGTCCAAAGGGAGCCGTGCCCATTCCCTGGGGGAATTCAGCACCCCACCACCACGGAGGGGGGATAAAAACCATTCCAATACCTCACCCCAGCGCCCTGGCACAGCCCCCAGGCTGCCAGGGAAGGGGCAGGCTGACCTTGAAGGTGATCTCAGCCAGGCAGCGCGTGCACTTGATGTAGAAGCGGAAGATGGGCAGCCCCAGGTAGGACTCGTTCAGCACCGTCTCCTTGCGGGCGTTGAACTTCTTGCCCTTGTAGATGTACTCCCCACACGTCTTGCACCTGGCCAGGGGCAGGGACACGTCCACAGGGGGGCAAGGGGCTGGGCAGGGGCTGGGGGTGCTGCCACGTTTCACAGGGAAAAGCTAGGCACGGCTCTGCCCAGGAATATTTCTGGGTTTCACGTTCTCTGAACCTCAGAGAATGAAAACACAACTCTTATCTCATTTGCTGTGCCTGTGTTTGTGCCAAAGCAGAATGAAATTGGGATTGTTCACCCAAAGTGAGGGTGGTTTTGGTTCCTTGGCCTGTCAGGCCAGGTGTGTAGTCCCACAATTCCCCTCAGGGAAAAGCAAGGCCCAGTTCTTCCCAATAATATCTCTGGGTTTCACGTTCTCTGAACTCCAGAGAAAGGAAAAACACAACTCTTATCTCGTTTGCTGTGCCTGTGTTTGTGTCAGAGCAGAATAAAATTGGGATTGTTTATCTAAATTGAGGGTGGTTTTGGTTCCTTGGCCTGTCAGGCCAGGTGTGTAACCCCACATTTCCCTTCACAGAGAAAAGCAAGGCACAACTCTTCCTAGGAATATTCTTACCTCATTTTCTGTGCCTGTGTTTGTGTCAGAGCAGAATGAAATTGGGATTGTTCACCCAAAGTGAGGGTGGTTTTGGTTCCTTGGCCTGTCAGGACCAGGTGTGGAGCCCCACATTTCACAGGGAAAAGCAAGGCACGGCTCTGCCCAGGAATATTTCTGGGTTTCACGTTCTCTGAACTCCAGAGAAAGGAAAAACACAATTCTTATCATTTTCTGTGCCTGTGTTTGTCCCCACTGCTCCCAGGAGGGATCCCACTATCCCAGGAGGGATCCCATTGCTCCAGGAGTGATCCCATGGTTCCAGGAGGGATCCCATTATCCCAGGAGTGATCCCACTGCTCCAGCAGGGATCCCAGGGTTCCAGGGGGGATCCCATTGCTCCAGGAGGGATCCCATTGCTCCAGGGGGGATCCCACTGCTCCAGGAGGGCCCCGGGGCTGCTCTCACCTCATGTTGAAGGGGGCCATCAGCCTCACCACGTACTGCCGGTCCTTGGGGAGCTTCAGCTTCGGGATCTTGGCCGGATCGAAGTCCGGGGGGTAATATTTCTGTGGAGAGAGAAAACTGGGAATGCTTCTGTATTTGGGAATTCTGGGGGTGTTTCCATGCACAAAGAGCAGATTTGGGAATGCTGGGGGTATTTCTGTGGAGAGAGCAGATTGGGAATGTTTCTGTATTTGGGAATTCTGGGGATGTTTCTATAGAGAGAGAGCAGATTTGGGAATGCTAGGGATATTTCGATGGACAGAAAGCAGATTTGGGAATGTTTCTGTATTTGGGAATTCCGGGAATGTTTCCATGCACAGAGAGCAAACTGGGAATGCTGGGGGTATTTCTGTGCAGAGAGAAGATTGGGAATGCTGGGGGTGTTCCTGTATTTGGGAATTCTGGGGGTATTTCTGTGCAGAGAGCAGATTTGGGAATGTTTCTTTATTCGGGAATTCTGGGGATGTTTCCATGCACAGACAGGAGATTTGGGGATGTTTCTGTATTTGGGAATTCTGGGGATATTTCTGTGCAGAGAGCAGATTTGGGAATGTTTCTTTATTCGGGAATTCTGGGGATGTTTCTGTATTTGGGAATGCTGGGGATGTTTCTGTATTTGGGAATGCTGGGGATGTTTCCATGGACAGAGAGCAGACTTGGGAATGCTGGGGATGTTCCTGAGCACAGAGAGCAGCTTTGGGGATGTTTCTTTATTTGGGAATTCCCGGACCAACCGGGGCCGCCCCGCGCGCTCGGGGAACCCGCCCCGGGCCCAGCCCGGCTCGGGACGCCACCCGGCCGCCGTGGCGGGGATTCCTCCCCAACTCACGTTCAGCACTTTCCGTTCCGACATCGCGGCGGCTTCTCCCGCTCCCCGGTGCTGCCGGTGCTGCTCCCGCGCCCCTCGCCGCTTCCGGGTGTGGCCCCGCCCCTCCGGCGCTCATTGGCGAGCGAGCCGCGGCCGCCCCGTTCCTCGGCTGTTATTGGCTGATCCAGCTGCCTGTCAATGGATCCGCCCACCGCTGTTGTGCAACCCAGCCAAGAGTCCGCCGGAGAGCCGGGGCCTCACAAGGGGTTCCGCATATTCTTGGGTCCTGCTGTTCTCCGTCTCCGGCTGGGGGACCCCGGGGCTCCGATCTGGGGCTGGGGGACCCCGGGGCTCCGATCTGGGGCTGGGGGACCCCGGGGCTCCGATCTGGGGCTGGGGAACCCCGGGGCTGCGATCTGGGGCTGGGGAAACTCGGTTTCCTCACAGCAACATGGGCCCCGGTCTCCCCTGATCTCCCGTGACGCACACTCGTCATGTAGATAGCAGTCCCCAAACAGTCTGGTTTGTGTCTAAAATGTCACTTTCTTTCCAAACACCGAGGACTCTGAGTCCTTTTGAATTTGCGGCTTTTTCGCTCACTCCACTGAGCATGCGCGGCCACGGCAGCCATGCTGTACGGCACCGCCGCACTGCGCATGCGGCGTTGCCATTGCCGCCATTCCGTACAGCGCGCCTCCCACGGCTTCAGCCGCCAGCGCGGGCAGTCCCGGGTGCCGCCGCCGCCAGCCCCGCCCGCACCGCGTGGCTGCAGCCCTGCGCATTCTCAGCTCCTCACTCCCCGCCGCTCCCCGCCCCTTCTGCACGGCGCCCGCGCACACCCG